TGATTGTGGCTTTACTCTTTTTTTGTGTCTTGCAGTTCCCCCCCAGATTGTCAACATCTCTTCGGACATCACCGTGAACGAGGGCAGCAGCGTGACCCTCATGTGCCTGGCCTTTGGGAGACCGGAGCCCACCGTCACGTGGCGGCACCTCTCCGGAAAAGGTAAGACCATGCTCGGGGCTCGGTGGATGAGGTGCCTGGGTCCAAGGAGGGGTCTCACCCAGTCCGTGTGGGATGGATGGATGTCCCTGTAGAGGTGGCTGGGGTGGCACAAAGGTGGTCCAGGGTTTTCTGGGTGGAGGGTGGAGGTGCTGGTCTGTTGGTGTGTCCTGGTATGAGGGTGAGGATGCTTGTTAAGTGATGTTCCAAGTTTCCTGGGTGAAGGGTGATGGTGCCACGCGTTCGGGACGTCTCCCAGGGCAGGGCTTTGTGAGCGAGGACGAGTACCTGGAGATCACGGGCATCACGCGGGAGCAGTCCGGGGAGTACGAGTGCAGCGCCGTCAACGACGTGGCCGTTCCGGACGTGCGGAAGGTCAAAGTCACCGTCAACTGTGAGTGCAAGGGATGGGGGAATTGTGGTGGGGTGGGCATGGAGCCCGGCGTGACTCTACACGGCATCTCCGCAGATCCACCGTACATCTCGAACGCCAAGAACACGGGCGCCTCGGTGGGCCAGAAGGGAATCCTGCAGTGCGAGGCCTCGGCCGTCCCCGTGGCAGAGTTTCAGTGGTTCAAGGAGGACACCAGGTGAGGGGCTGCAGAGGAGGGAGAGACCGGGCATGGCATGGAGGGGGGCAACTATGCCGGCCTCGGGGCCCGGGGGTGATAAGGAAGGCTGGGATCAGCTCATTTTGGTGGGTCTGAGCGCTTGGCTGAGGGCTGAGGGTGTCCCAGGGTTGTTTCTCCCAGGGATGGTGGTTAACGTGGGCCGTGTGGGTCAGGGATGGGTTGTGGGATGGAGAGCACAGCGTGCTTTTGGGGAGCGTGGTGGGGTGAAGGGCTCCTCTCGGTGGGGGGACACGTGGGTGTGCAGCAGTGTTGACTGGGAGGGAGGGGGCAACGTACATTGCAGAGCTCCAGCACAGCACTCTGAGCATGTCGTCCGTGTTTCCTGCAGGTTAGCGAACGGGCTGGAGGGCGTGCGGATCGAGAGCAAGGGCCGCCTGTCCACGCTGACCTTCTTCAACGTCTCGGAGAAGGACTACGGCAACTACACGTGCGTGGCCACGAACAAGCTGGGCAACACCAACGCCAGCATCATCCTGTATGGTAGGTGCCCTTTGTTTTTTTGGCCAGAAGGTACCAAGCTGGACTAGAGCAGAAATCAGGGATTGGGGGAGAAGTCATCCGGCATCGGGTCAGCCAGCAAGACAGGCTGGCTGAGATACCGAGCAGCGATCCCTCCTCCAGAAAATGAAGCAGACGAGGGAGACACAGAGGGACAGAAGAAGGGATAGGGACAGACGGGACAACAAGATGACAGGCGAACAGAGTGGAGGGGGAAGAGCGAGGACCGAGAGCCCCAGTGGAAAGAGACACACAGAGAGAGAGGGAGGAAGAAAAAGAGCCGGACTGACAGACACACAGACAGAGAGGGAGAGACCCAAGGGCACAGACGCTGAGCTGTGGATAGGCAGAAAACAGATGCCAAACCACAGAGCTGGACCTCCTCTTGCTATTAATGTCCTCAAAATGCCCTTCTTGATCTTTGACACAGCACTGGCCGGTTTCAACACTAATCGAGCTTGGGCTTTTCCATGTCTTTTCCCCGCATAGGCGAACCACGGCTCCCTAATCTTCTCACGAAGCCTGCCCTCACTTCCAGAATGAGTATGAGTTCTTTTTCCTCTTGAGGTCCAGTTCCTCATTTGGCTGATCGCCACTCCCATGCCTCCCAAAGGCACTTAAAAACAGAGTGGTGGTCCTGGACTCCTTAGCCCACAAAAGCAGATTCCCAGGGGACTCTGCTAAATAGCTCCCCAAATAGCTTAAAGTTTCCTTTCCTGAAATCCAGGGGAGCAACTCTGCTGTCCTTTTTTTTCTCATGACGCTGAAAATTTTAAGCTCTGCTGTTTCATCACACCTGAGGCCAAGACGGCTGCCTACCATCACGTCTCCTGCAAATTTCCAGGAGAATGCTGTGGGAAATGGTGTAAAAAGGCTTTACTAAAGTCCAGGTAGACAACATCCACAGCCTTTCCCTCATCTGCTAATCGGGTCACCTTGTCATAGAAGGAGATGAAGTTGGTCAAGCAGGACCTGCCTTTCACAAACCCATGCTGACTGGGCCTGATCGCCCGGTTGTCTGGTACGTGCTGCGGGATGGCACTCAAGATGATCTGCTCCATAACCTTCCCCAGCACCGAGGCCAGACTGACAGGCCTGTGGTTCCACAGACCCTTCAGATGATCTGCTCCATAACCTTCCCCAGCACGAGGCCAGACTGACCTCGGGTTCCACAGGGTTCCACAGACCCTTCCTCCAGCCCTTCTTGCAGATAGACGTGACATTTGCTAACCTTCGGTCAACTGAGACCTCCCTGGTTAGCCAGGACTGCTGATCAATGATGGAAGGTGGCTTGGTGAGCACTCCCACCAGCCACCACTCCCTCAGCCCCCCCGGGTGGATCCCATTCAGCCCCATGGACTTACTGTGTCTAAGTGGTGTAGTAGCTTGCTAACCATTTCCCCTTGGGTTATGGGGGCTTCATTCTGCTCCCCATCCCTGTCTTCCAGCTCAGGGGCTGGGTACCTGGAGAACAACTGCTCTTACTATTAAAGACTGAGGCGAAGAAGGCAGGAAGTACCTCGGCCTGTTCCTCATCCTTTGTCACTATGCTTCTCCCCGCATCTAATAAAGGACGGAGATTCTCCTTAGCCCTCCTTTTGTTGTGAATGTATTTATAGAAACATTTTTTTTTGTCTTTTACAGCAGCAGCCAGATTAAGTTCCAGCTGGGCTTTGGCCCTTCTGATTTCCTCCCTGCATAGCCTCACGACATCTTTGTAGTCCCCCTGAGTGGCCTGCCCCTTCTTCCAAAGGCCATAAACTCCTTTTTTCCCGGAGTTCCAGCCAAAGCTCTCTGTTCAGCCAGGCCGATCTTCTTCCCCGCTGGCGCATCTTTCGGCACATGGGGATGGCCTGTTCCTGCGCCTTTTGGATTTCTTCCTTGAAGAGTTTCCAGCCTTTCTGGACTCCTTTGCAACCCCAAAATGTCCCCCAAAGCGTCCCCTGAGACTCCACATGTCCAGGTGCCGATGTCACCTGTGTCGGCGAGCCTTTATTGCTGGCCGCAAGTTGCATGGCTCCCGAGGTCTCTGATCCCGGCCATCCCTGGGGGCTCTCTCGCAGCTGTTTGCATCTTGTCGTTCATGAAGTTGTATTTGCACCCCGTGACCCACCACCTGCACACCCAGCTTCTCCCGGTGGCATGTCTCTCTTGCTCTATGGCACATCTCTGTCGCTCGTGACATGTCTACTGGCCGAAACGCAGGCTTCCTCTGCACGACGGGCATCCCGGCAGCCTCCCTTGCCGATTGTCCTCTTCTGCTCCTATCTACAGGGGTCTGACCGGGCACACAGCCCATCCCTGACCTGCTGCGACACGGGATTCCCTGAGGAGGGTGAGCCGGGGCATCTTTCTCTTCAAACAAGGACCACGTCACCCCTAAATGTCTTTCGAGCTCCTTACCTACCTCCTCAACGCAGCCTGGACCCCATGCCAACACCAGCAACACTCTCCAAACAACAGACAAACCAGCACCCCTTGGACAGGGAAGGCGATGCGGAAGGGGCCGGGGAGCCGTGGGGATGGTGGGGAGGGTGGTTCCCTTCATGCTATCACACCTGCTCGCCACTGGCCTTAACGCTGTCCTTCGTCTTCCTCTTCTCCTCTCCCCTGCCCAGGGCCCGGAGCGGTGCACGACGGTGGCAACGC